AATTACACACAATAAATATGACCACACATTTCAAAACCAAAGGAAACCCACATTGCATATGGGTTAATAAAAGTGGATTTGTAATTGTTAACGATAATTTTAAACTACACTTTAAAACACAACTGCTTTTAAATTGTTCAACTACACTGACTTGAAGTTTTTGAAGATTTTGAAAGTGTAACATTAGCATTTATTAACTGATAGATAATCTTGACTGAAAAAATTCCCTCTGCTATTTTTCTGTCTCTTTCAAATCAGTGTCAACAGTGCAAATTAACGATTTGCTTACAATTATAGAACAAATTCAATATAACTAAAAGCACGGTTGTATAACAAAACTAGATAAATGCATGGGTGTATTTTGGATTACGTTTTTTTTACATACATATGTAATTAGGTGGGAAAACTAAAATAAAAAATCGTCATTACAGGGGGAAAAATTGTCAAAACGTCATTGAGCTAAAAAAACGTCAAAACGACGACGACGTAATCGTCAATTCGGCAACGCTGGTCAGAACAAAGCAAAATTACAACAAACACATAATTTTTACAAAAGGTACAAATTCGCCGTGAAATCAGCGAATCCGATAAAACCACCTTGTATAGATTCGCCTTGGGTTAATGGTTTTGTTTTTGAATGTTTTTATTTATCAAAAACTCTATATTGTGAATGCGCGCTTTATGTCACGTGCTTTGCCCATACACACGTCGATGTTTGTATACACACATCTGTATGTAAGTAACAATATAAAATATGTTTGTATGTATATGAATATGTATAAGTATGTCTAGACTTTATTTTTTAAGTCCACTCATAATTGGAAGACCTTTCATACACTTCTATGTACATCCCGACCTGTCGTAGTAAATTAAATTTATTGTCGTAACTTTTTAACTTCTCCGTTTAGGTTTAAATAACTGATATATGTACATATGTATATACATAAGTATGTGCATGTACATACATATGTATTTATAAGTATGTATATGTATGTAAATATAATCTTCTCATTTCATTAACAAATACTAAATGGATGTAAGTAGGTGTGTACTTATTGACGCTAAGAAATATTTTTTTACGAACTTATGAGTGAAATAGTATTTTTTTTTTCATTTTTGGTAAGCTCGGGCTTCAAATTGGGGTCATTAAGTAGCTACATGTGTATATGTATTTCAACCATCACAAAGTCTGAACTTACCAGTGTTGCCACTTTGTGAGTAATTCCTCAAAACGTGAGGAATTTCGGGTGCGCTTGAGTATTTTTTGAGGATTTTTATTTTGAGGAATTTTCTCTCGATATATTTGCAGATAAAAATTTCAACCATGTTTTACACAACAGAGTTGTTAAATCACTCTGCAAATTTTGAACAAAAAGCTTTCCGAAGTTTTATAAAGAGCGAAGTACCCCACTCAAGCGGCTTGTCAAACATTCTTCAAACCTACTTTTTCCATTTCGCCATAAGCCATGCAAACATGACTCGTTGAAGCAAATAATTTTAGTTTTATTCCTGTTCACAATGTAAAAGGGTTTGTTTTTCTTAGATTTTTCTCTCTTGCGTCCTCATTCGTTAAAAAATCCGTTCCAAATGAGGCGATTTTATCATACACAACGTAAAGGGTTTGATCAAACGTCAACATGGCGGCCAGGAAATAAAAAAAAATTTGATCTTGTCAAACTTTCAAACACCCCCTAAACAACATTAATAGCTTTAAGCAAAGGGATATTTCGCTTGGTTTGTCAAGCCGCTTGTGTGGTGTTTTTCGCTCTTAAGCACATCTGCATTTGCTGCTAAATATTCAAAATGTTATCGATAATTTTTTTCATTCATCGTTATGTTTTCAACTTAATTTCAACTTGGAAAATCTCGGTAACGAATGGAGAGAACACGTATTGTTCGATCATAAGGATATTCATATTGATTCTCCATTAGATCCGGAAAATTATAGGAAAAAAGTTTTTGAATTAAAAAATTATTCAGGTTAATATAAGTTTCCCATTAAAAAAAAAATTATATCTGCATTACTAATATAGCCCTTTTCTAATGCTTCAGTAGAACATATATTTAGTAGTTTAAAAATGTGTAGGACTGGATGNCAGTGTTGCCACTTTGTGAGTAATTCCTCAAAACGTGAGGAATTTCGGGTGCGCTTGAGTATTTTTTGAGGATTTTTATTTTGAGGAATTTTCTCTCGATATATTTGCAGATAAAAATTTCAACCATGTTTTACACAACAGAGTTGTTAAATCACTCTGCAAATTTTGAACAAAAAGCTTTCCGAAGTTTTATAAAGAGCGAAGTACCCCACTCAAGCGGCTTGTCAAACATTCTTCAAACCTACTTTTTCCATTTCGCCATAAGCCATGCAAACATGACTCGTTGAAGCAAATAATTTTAGTTTTATTCCTGTTCACAATGTAAAAGGGTTTGTTTTTCTTAGATTTTTCTCTCTTGCGTCCTCATTCGTTAAAAAATCCGTTCCAAATGAGGCGATTTTATCATACACAACGTAAAGGGTTTGATCAAACGTCAACATGGCGGCCAGGAAATAAAAAAAAATTTGATCTTGTCAAACTTTCAAACACCCCCTAAACAACATTAATAGCTTTAAGCAAAGGGATATTTCGCTTGGTTTGTCAAGCCGCTTGTGTGGTGTTTTTCGCTCTTAAGCACATCTGCATTTGCTGCTAAATATTCAAAATGTTATCGATAATTTTTTTCATTCATCGTTATGTTTTCAACTTAATTTCAACTTGGAAAATCTCGGTAACGAATGGAGAGAACACGTATTGTTCGATCATAAGGATATTCATATTGATTCTCCATTAGATCCGGAAAATTATAGGAAAAAAGTTTTTGAATTAAAAAATTATTCAGGTTAATATAAGTTTCCCATTAAAAAAAAAATTATATCTGCATTACTAATATAGCCCTTTTCTAATGCTTCAGTAGAACATATATTTAGTAGTTTAAAAATGTGTAGGACTGGATGGAGGACCAGATTGAGCACTGATATAGTTGCAGCAATATTATATACAAACCAGGGCATAAAAAATAACGGTGATACCTTGTTTGAACCGCAAGAAGAAATGTACCAATAGAATTGGAGAATGTAATTAATTTTTATACTGAGTACCTGTAAATAGTATGCAGTACACAATACTCATATCTGTAATAAGAAAATTTTGAGTAATTGGTTCGGATTTTGAGAATTTTCCATTTGCGCGTGAGGAATTTGGTAAATTTTTTGTGGCAACACTGGAACTTACTTTCGTATGTATGTACTATGTATGAGAAGGACTCATAAATATCTACATATCTGTGCACATATGTTTATAAGCATCACATACATACATATATACATACGTATTACGTGTGAATCCGTTTCGTATTCTATTTTACCGTCAACGAATTACTGTATTTTATGTACACAAAAAAAATTGCATAGTTCAAATAACATTTGCACTAAGTCAGTACATACATACATATACATATGTATATATACATATGCATATACATATGTTCTTATTCGTACACAATTTTAAAACACTTCATTGCACCAAATTTCTTTGGGTTATGAGGAAACTGTAATAATTGTCCTCGTAAATCGTTAGAGGGATCCAACGACCGATTGAATTTATTTATTTTTTTGAGAAGTTAATCGATTTTCACCATCTTAAATGCTTTCCTATGTAGTCGTATCTTCTAATTCGCGTGCATCACAATGTAATTGTACACATTTTATGTATATAAAGTACGCATCGCCTATGATTATTTATTTCTTTCTTTTCAGTATTTCATTGCATTAGCTAATCTTAAATGTAAAGAAAATAATCTACGGAGGGTTACATCCCCTTTATTTTTTGTAACCGCACTCTACCAAAATCAATTTAAGACTAAACATAAATATTAATTCACATATCGGGCGCGTCCTTTAGGCACAGGCGCAATCAAGTGAGCAACTTAAGAGCAGTAATAGGATAAAGTGAATCTAGGCGCATATATAAGTGTTGCACCCTTCGGCGTTCCTTGAGTATTTCCGTCACAGACAATCATCTTTGTGAGTGCACGTCTTAAACGTGTTTTCATTGTGAATTTCATACAAGTGCATGTCACAGAGTATCTCAAGGGTTAACGTGTGCAGGGTAGTCCAAATTTAAGCAAACTTATTGAACGCGAAAAAAATAAATAATTGAATTTCCGTTTGTTCATCATTGCTTAATAAGAAAAAGCATAAATGCCATTAATGATGGATAACGAAGTTTATTCACTGCATGACTGAAAATAAATAATACAACTGTGCTATTCGAAAAACTGAACAACCGGACGACCTACCTGGTAAAGTCAATTCGGGTACGCCAAATTCAGTGGTAATAGTCATTTCTCTAAATGAACCAATTAGAACAGATCTGACCGGTTGAGAAGCAGCCATTTGTAATAGCAGTTGAGAAAAAAGTGTGTGACGTTCTTAATTTTAAAGTTTGCTATTTCTGCTTTGCTTCTTTCTTTATGTGTATTTTGTGTTATTTCGGTGGTTTTTAAGCGATTTTCAATAAACTTTTTGTGCAAATGTAATTAATGATTGATTGCAAAAACACGTACAAAAATAATAAATTGGTTAGCACAAACAATTGCTTGCGTTTTTTTTCTTTATGCTTCGTCTTCATATTCTTTGTTTGCTTTTCAAAGAAAATAACATGGCGCCGAAATTACAAACGTCAGCCAGAATATTACTTTTTCAATTTTAATATTTTAATAGGCTTGTCCGATCTTGCATCCTTTAGTGCAAATAAAACAAAGTTATTCCACTATTGTTGCCCAACGTTTCGCTAAACTCATTAGCATCTTCAGGGGCTGGTTGTTTATTTTCACTGTATCAACAATAAGTACAAAAATTACAAATATGCATTAACGTTTGACAAAAATTACATACGGAACATACATGTATGACGTGCATATGAATATAATGGCAAATGAATTATACTATTTTATGACTTACACAAATTTCTAGTATAACATATTTAATTAAACTTAATTTTACTTCGGTACCATCTATTGTGGTAGTCTTGTCAATACTGGTAATTGCTAAAATTCGTCATAAACATAAAATGTATGCAGCAGCAATGTCATCGGTATCTTCTTTCTTGTTTATTGTTTTTTCTCTTTTTTGCATTATTCTTAGGCTATCCAGTGTATACCTTGTCTTTCCCCTTTTTTCCTTGTCTATTATTATTGTGTTTGCAAAGTCAGCTGTGTGCCCACCGGTAGTTATGTGTTGTGATAGTGCTGTATTGGTTTTGTGTTTTTTTATGTCTGCCTGGTGTTCTGCTAGTCGAACGCCAAGAGCGCGTTTTGTTGTTCCTATATATATTTTGTTACAGGCTTCGTTTTCTTTGCCTTTACGTGTTATTTCGTAAACTACGTTGTTCTGTTGTTTGGCGTCTATAGGGCTTTTTTTTTGTGTAAATCGTGGATAAAGTGTTATTGGACTTGTAGGCGAGAGTGATATTTTGTTTTCTAGCCAAGTCGCGATCGAGGTTTTCGGATAGTTTGGGGATGTATTTTATGCTGTGGTATTGTTTTTTCGTGTCTGTTGTTTTGTAGATGTTGCTCTATTTTGAGGGCTGGTTATTTCTATTACTTTCTCTTGTATGAGTTCGCGTATTAGGTAGTCGGGGTAATTGTTGCTTTTTAGTATTTTTCTTATTTTGTCTATGTTTGCGTCATGAAATCGTTGGTGGCTTAAAGTGAGGCTTAAAGTACACGGAGAAGATGAAGAGCATACTAGAAGACAGAAACACATATAAAACAATAAGAACTGACCCAACGCAAAAAAGAGAAAAAACAATAAACAAGAAAGAAGACACCGATGACATTGCTGCTGCATACATTTTATGTTTATGACGAATTTTAGCAATTACCAGTATTGACAAGACTACCACAATAGATGGTATCGAAGTAAAATTAAGTTTAATTAAATATGTTATAATATAACTTTGTGTAAGTCGTAAAATAGTATAATTCATTTGCCACTTTTGTATTCATATGCACGTCATACATGTATGTTCCTTATGTAATTTTTGTTAGAGCTGTAAAAGTAACGAAATTTCGGATACCCGTATGTATTCTTTACTAATCCAATCAACACCCGTATCTTTCGTATCGTTACTTTACTCGTTACTTTTGATACAAGCACTTGTACCTCACAAGAATCATCGCAACAAATCTTGCAGCGTAAGGAAATGTTCGTTCATGCATATACATACTTGTACATATATACATATGTATACACGCAACATAGTTTTGTATCGATTCGAACAATTTGATAAAATCAATCACTTGTACATCACACGAATCATGCATGCATATACGTACATNTGCAGCGTAAGGAAATGTTCGTTCATGCATATACATACTTGTACATATATACATATGTATACACGCAACATAGTTTTGTATCGATTCGAACAATTTGATAAAATCAATCACTTGTACATCACACGAATCATGCATGCATGTACGTACATATACACACGCAACACATTTTAGTATCGATACGAAAAACAGTTTCGTTACCGCACAATATGTTGTGTTGTATTGACTCACGATGAAGGTGCATATACGGAACATGCGAGTAACGAGATTATTATGTGAGTAACGATTCGGTACTTCGAGTCAGGGGTTGTATTCGTTATTCAGTAACGAATACATACGGTTTGCTACAGCTCTAATTTTTGTCCAACGTTAATGCATATTTGTAATTTTTATACCAGAGCGCACTTGTGCACAAGGGTATATTAATTTTGTTCACATAATGGTTGTTTGTAACAGCCAAAACGAATCGAGATAGATATAGACAAATGTATACATAAATGCTCAGAATGAATAGAGAAGTCGATTAAGCCATGTCTGTCTGTCCGTCCGTC